AGCACCGGGGAGGCTGAGGCAGGAGGATCACTATGAGTCCAAGATGCATGATGAGGTTACGTGCCAAATAAATAAATAAATAAAAGATTAAAAAAATGGGCTTAGGGAGATAGCTCAGTAGAAAAAAAAACATATGTTTGGCAAGTGCAGGGTCGTGAATTCAAACCCCAGAACCGAAAAAAAAAAAAAATTAACATACAAATTAGTGAGACATATCAAACTCCAAGTAGCCATGAACAAAATAAATCTATACCAAGGTATAAATTAATCAAAATTCCACATATTCAGCATAAGAACAGAATATTAAAAGTGGTTAGAGAAAAAAGAAAGACATCACCTATTTAAAAAATCTCATCAGAATCACAGCAGTGAACCAGTCCTAGCCCAGGCCCGGTGAGTGTGTGGGAGAGCTTCCGGCTACCCTGAGCCAGCGGAACCTACTGGTCCCAGCCCAGGCGCAGCATGGGTGAGACTCTCTTCCACCCACTTGGGAATCTCCCCTGACACCATAGTACCCCCCACCCCCACCTGCAGAATAGGAATTTTTGCTGCGTTCTGGGAAACCCCAGATGCAGTCCTAGCCCAGGCCCAGTGAGTGTGTGGGAGAGCTGCCTCTTCCCCCTACTCCACCTTGTCCCCTCCAGACTCAGCTCAGGGCTGCCATACAGGCCTGGGTGAATCCCTGCACCTGCAATCCCTGCAGAGAGAGTAGGGTCAGAACCACCCAGCAAGGCCAGGAGCAGAACATCTTGCCAAGGGGGCATAAAAGGTTCACCCCCAAGGGCAGCAACAGGAAAGAGCTGAGCACAGCAGCCAGACCCAAGCCAGGCAAAACTGGATAAATCCAAATTTTGTAGATCTACACCTGAACTTCAGTAGGTAGTAAGGTTATAACTACAAAAAAAAAGATCTACAACAAAGGTTAGAAGACAGTGCTACACAAAATGACAAGAACAACAAAATGCAATCTCATACCCCAAGCCCACCCATAACAAGTGCAGAGGACACTAACAAGAACAAAATGGATATCACAAAGCTGAAAGCAATGAATCAACTGCTTCTGAAAAAAGAAACAGCTGAAGAAAGGTATAGAGGAGCTCAGATTGGAAATAAAAAAAGAAATCCCTGAATTAATAAAATCTGCAGTAAAGAATCAAATGCAGAAACATATGGAGGAAACCCAATGCCCACACACAAAAAGTGCAGAGGACACTAGCTCAGCTCAAATGTATGAATTAATAGGGTCAATAGTAAATAAGCAAG